ACGGAATAAGTGGTAGTCATTTGGAGCTAAGTCTGGTGAATAGAAAGAGTGGGGCAGAAGTTCCCACCCAAGGCTCAATAATTTATTGCGAGTGACCAATGAGATATGAGGCCTAGCGTTGTCTTGATGGAACACAACGCCCTTCCGATCATTCATAACTCTTCAGAATGTTCTCCAAATTCGAAGTTACTATATCCGTTGGAAAGCTGAATTATTGTTCTACAAAGCCTTATGAATAGTTTTTTTTATTTAATACTTACATGAAGAATAAATAAACAAAAACTCATAGATTTTTATTTTTTATCTCCATTTGTAGTTTGTTTACGAAGGTCTTGTTGATGTCATTTTGTGTAGCTTATGTGACCCTAAATTTTATGCAGATAGCTATAGTCGTATTGTAAATATAACATTTTTTGTGATTTTCGAAAAAAACGATGTAAGGGACCCAAAAATTAAGCCTGAAAACATAGCCGAGGAGCTTGTGAAAATAGTTTTCTATGCTTGTGTGAGGCACATTTAGGGCCATAGCAATCTCTCGCAATGATTGGGTGGGATTTTTATCAACAATGGCCTTAACATTGCTCGTTTCAATTTCTTGTGGGCGACCAGACCGTTGAGGATCATTGATGTCAAAATTTCCTGAATGAAATTTGGCAAATCAATTTTGACAGGTGCGTTCGGTTAATCATCCTCATAAACACTGCAAATTTTTCTATGAGCTTCTGCAGCACGCTTATCTTTTTTAAAATAATACAACAAAATATGTCGATAATGAATGATATTTTCTTCCATATTCACAGTGCAATAGCAAACACAATACTAAGGTAGTTTAAACAAGAGTAAACAGATATGGTTGTTAGCATATTACAAACTGGATAAGCAATCCACCTTAGGGATTAATTAATCACATAAGAAGTGTATCATGATGACAGAAAAATAAACAGAAAAACCGAAAGGACTTATTTGCCAACCCGATATTAGTTTTAGGAAGCAATAATTAGTATCATTTAACAGAGAAAATATATATATTTATATAATATTGTCACAGTTCGTATTATATTGCCCTCATGATATGTAAGGAAGCTTCTAATCTTTCGGGCGAGTTCGGGTTCGCTCGTATTCCTTCGGTTCCACAGTTACAACTATTCTCCGTTACGATATCTTATTTTTCTTTTATTTAATTATCAAATTATTTCACATTTTATATTACAGATTAATGTGAAATGGTCAATTGATTCAAATAAAAAAACCTCAAAGGTATTTTAGAGGAAGTTCTTATTGAAAATTAGCTATTTAAGCCCTGTTAATGAACATCAATCAGATTAAAAACTACATTTTATTTAAAACTAGTCAATTTTATAATGATATAAGGAATTTAATCAAAATCGTTAGAGCCGTTTTCGAGAAAATCATAAAAAAATTGTTTAGTCCATGATATAAAGTGCCACTTCCGATTAGCCAATTTTGATGAAAAAGTTGCTGTAACATCCCTAGCATATAAAAACCTTAAATATGCAATTTTACTTTCGTAAGAATTTTTGTTTTTGAGCTAGACTGTTAACACACACATAGACCATTTTGCGGGACTTGGTTATTTGGACTCAGGAGACCTCAAAACGTGTATTTTTGTTGAATTATTTTTGAGGATTTTTGTGTATGATAGCAATACTTCCCTTTACTGTATATTTCATATTTAAGTAAGTTAAAGTAAAAAACACAAATCTTAAATTTCCTATTTTTCAGCTTGAAATTTGGCAATTATTTATATTAAGTGTTTTGTATGTCTTAATGTCTGTTATAAACCTTTTAATTATTTTCCTATACTTAAGAGAAACCGAGTATATTTGAATGCATTACTTAAAGTTAAAGTACAAAATTATTATTAGAAAGTAAACCTATGACCTCCTGTCCTACAGTATCCTTTAATAATATCCCACTTATATCTGTTGAACAAATCTTATACCTTGGACTCTACTTGGACAAACGTCAAACTTGGAATCCTCATATCAGACTGAAGCGACAAGAAACTGCTCGACGTTTCCGATTACTCCATCACTTACTAGACAAACGCTCTAAGCTTCCAGTTAATTACAAAAGACTCATATACATGACTACAATAAGACCTATTTGGACTTCCGGAGTTGAGCTTTGGGGCTCCACTAAGGCATAGAATTCCTCTCGTATCCAATCCTTACAATCCAAAATCCTTCGTAAAATTCTCAACACTCCTTACTTTGTCACCAATAAAATAATCCATAACGACCTTAATGTTCGTTATGTTTCCGATTCGGGCCAATCCAGATACCTATCCTTCCATAATAAACTTCAGAACCATCCGAATCCTCTCGTCTCTAACCTTGCTTCCTCGTCTATCCCTGATAACCCTCCTAGGCGTTTGAAAAGAAGATGGCCTAGAGATATTTTAAGTACATTTTTAGAGTGCTACCAGTGGATAGTTTCTCAACAAGTTATCTCATTTTATTATTTTCTGTTATCAAATTTACTAAATGTATTTTATTTATTAATACAGTTGAACATATCTAAATAATATATATATATATATATATATACATATATATATATATATATATATATATATATATATATATATATTTGAAACATCGGATATTCGCTTCTTTGAGAGATGCGGAACTGAAGCCTCAAGTTGGCTAGCTCGTCGCGTATTGATCTTCAAGATAATTGGGTGAGGAGGAAGCTGCTGGCTAAAGAGTTTATCTCTCAGCTGAGGGTTCTAAACTAAAGCTACCAATCCATCAAAATTATAACTTAACGATTAACGTAAATGAAAACAAAAAGTAATTAAGGAAATGATATATATCAAACATGTTGTTGCTGAATTACAATTAAAAGAAAATAACTACATTTTCGTTGACTATTATTATGAAAAAGGTCTTAGGTTTACGACGGATCTTCCATTCTGCCCTATCCTCAGTTCACAGGTGTACCACAAGGTTTCGTTTTAAATCTTCTGCTATCGTACCTTATTATAGAGCCTTAGAAATTCGAAAATTTTCACGATCGCAGTACTTCTACTTATATATTACATATATAATAACAATACTTTATTTATTCTGAGACGAGTCTATTTATAATAATACAGAAAGACATAAATATGGGCTAAGGAGCCTCAGAGATACATAATTAAAAATACAGAGTAATTAAACAGCATAGTAAAAAAAATGAAAAATTATAAGTTACTTTCTAATTTTAATCAGTTAATATGAATTAAAAATAATGAAGAACGAACCAATAATTTCTACACATATTTACACTAGTATCTATTTACAATTTCATGAGGACTGGATGGATAGGAAATGATTGAACAGGCGGGATTTAAAGGTAGGAAGAGTATCAGATTGACGAATGTGAGAAGAATTGGAGTCCCATAGGGTGAGGATCGGATAATGAAAGATCTGTCGAAAGCAGCGGTTCGGTGGGCCCTTATGTATAAATCAGAAGACCGGGAACGAGTATTACGGGAACGAACAGAGGATTTAAATTGAAGGAGCTCGGAGATGTATGAAGGACGGTGGGATTGGATAACTTGAAAGAGGAAGGATGCCAGGAAATATTTACGACGGTAGGAAGGATAAAGCCACTTCAACTCTGCATAAAAATTGGAAACAGAGGCGTCTCTTGGTATCCCGAAGATGAATCGTACAAAGCAATTTATCAAACGTTTTAATTTCCCAGAAACGCCCCCATTACCATGCAGCAATAGTCGAAGTGGGGGAAAATTAAGGAAGTTACTAGGAGCCTACGGGTTTCAAATGGAGAATAATTTAGACGTTTTAGGGTGGAAATGGTACGGCGGGAAATATTGGACACATGTTTTTTCCAGGAAAGCGTTTGATCGAAGGTTATTCCAAGTTTTTTGACAATGGTGTAAAATTTGATGGGATTATCATGCAGGAACAGAGTTGGAATATTAGGAACAGTTTTAGAATAGAATAGAATAGAATAGAATAGAAAATTAAACTTTATTCTGGGACTAAGTCCCTTTAGAATAACAATGATTAGTTAATATACAGTAAAATACAAATCTGGCCAAAAACTAACTTCTAAACATATACATTATTTAAAAAGTATGTAACCAGTAAAATATAAAAATAAAATAAAAATATATATAAATGAACATAAAATCTTCTCAAAATTACTAATTATTGTGAGGAAAAAAAAAGAAAAGAAATTACATATTTATATATACATAACTACTCAATTTATAAACAATAGGCTATCTAATAGAAAACTAACTTAATACAAAATGTAATAATATTTACTATGATTTATATAATAATATGCAGACACTAAGATAAAATAAAATCTTAGGATTACTTGTAGTGTAATGGAAAAAAAAAACTATTTATACGCACATTCTCATATTGGCACAGAGAGAGACAAAAAGTATAAAATATAAACATATATGCCCGAAAGAAAAAGCACAACCTGAGGAGAAGAGAAAAACAAATAAATAGTAAAAATAATAGTCAAGCTAGATGACAAAGATCATTGCTGTTTGATCATTGATGTTAATACAGTGGGCACCACCATTTACTTCACGCAAATTCCGTTCATAAAATGAAATTTATGGTGGTAAATCTTCTGTTTGGGATGTAAGGAGATATTGGAAAAGGAGGTATTTGAAAGTTGACTGGGAAGAGGCATGACGGATGTTATGTGGCAAAGAATTCCAGTAGGTGACGGAGCGGGCTAAGAAGGAACGTTCATAGGTTTTTGTCCTGTGGAATGGAATATAAAGGTCAGAAACACGGGATCTCTAAGGAGCTCCCATAGTTTTAAGGGGGTGATTGGAGCCTATTAAGATAGCCTTCGTCTTTTCCACGTTCAACTTCAACTTCTTAGCTCTGGTCCAGTCACAAATTCTATCCAAGTTTTCTTGAAGTTTGCCTGTGTGTTATAATAGGTCCGGAGGGCAGGAAGAACAGGTATATTTGGAAATCATCTGCATAGATATGGTATTAGAAGTGATGGATCATGAGGGGAAGGTCATTAATGTAAATAGCAAACAGAGTAGGAGATAGAGAGGAACCTTGAGGGACACCACAGGAGAGGGGAAGAGTCTTAGATGAAGGTTGACCTAGGACTACTACATACTGGCTGGAAGTAAAAATAATTATTATTACGAATATTTCCACAACTCACCTACTTTCTCCTGACAATTGTCCCAGGTTGGAACAACAATCGGGAGGTACTTTGTACATGTGCGGTACGTAGATCACCAACGGGCACATCTTAGGAGTTTTTGCCTGTTTTCTCAAAATATGGAAATAATTAGCAGGTGACGAAATGTTGACAATGGTGCAACGTGGTTTAGAGTTCTTCGATTTACTGTCCATCATGCCGTGGTAGATGTTGATGATGTGTTTCTTCAGCGTGCTCTGGTATTTCCGGGTGTTCTTCTCGAAAACTGAAAAAACAAAACAGAAAAAACTACGGTCTGTTCTTTAGACCAGACGATAGAAGTAAAGACATCAACGAGACGAGATTAATAATATGAAATTTTTTTTTTTTTGTTTCTTAATGACATTTACAACTGTATTACATAAATACATCTTGTAAATTTGGACATAATAGACATAATGACATGAATACACTTGCTGAGTAACTACCCCATGGTAGCACTCTGATGATATGACTATATTAGGAGATCACGTGGCCATCTTCTTTTCAGACGCCTCGGAGGGTTATCAGGAATCGAAGAGGAAGCAAGGTTAGAAACGAGAGGGTTGGGATGATTCTGAAGTTTATTATGGAAGGATAGGTATCTGGATTGGGCTAGATCTGAAATATGAAATGTAAATAATAAATAATAGCTCATTATAAAAAGGATGAAATTCAGAACAATTCCCTCACTTATTGTAAGCAGGTCTCAGGATTTTTAGTTTCTGAGATATTTTAATCCATATCTTAAATTAAACTCGTTATAATTTGGTTTCCAACACTATGTTTAACTTTTAGTCTCTCTAATACGTTAAGATATCATTTTGAATAATATTCCATTACAGACAGGATGAAATTATAAACCTTTCTCTCGCTTGCAGTATCCAGGTTCGGTTTTTAGTTTTTGAGATATTTTAAACCATATGCAAAAACACTGCACTCAACTCCTACTTTACCACAGCGTTACACATCGAAGATCTGACGGCTCAGTCTAATTCATCCTCAACAAAAAAGTGCAAAACGCTCCTAAAGAAGTTTTCATTTCAAAAATAATGTTATCTCTCAATTGAGACAATAATCGAATTAAGATTTCTTTATTTTAGAGAGCATTAAATTGGAATTGAATCTTCAAACTCTCAGATGTATTTTGATAAAGTTGAGTAACCTATTTCTAAGTAATTTAGATATTTAGGTTTCTATTTGAGCTATTTTCAAGATTACAGGAAAGGCATTAATATTAACGACAACAAAAAAATCTATAAAATTTATAATAATAATAAAAGGCTTAGCGAACCCGAAGGTTCGAAGCCGACACCAACCAAACCCAGTCCCTTCAGATCGGCTTTAATGCAATCTTTCCACCTTCGCTTCGGTCTACCCCTTGGACGTTTACCATTCGGTACAGCGAATATTAACCTTTTAGGAATTCTCTCGTTACTAAGCCCAACAATTTTACAAGCCTATTTGATTCGCCGCGATGAAATTACCTCAATTATATTACCCGGATATAGTTCACGCAATTCGGCGTTGTGTAACCGTCTGAACTCTCCGGTGACCTCATCCTTCTTCGGTCCGAATATTCTACGCAATACTTTATTTTCAGAAAACTTAAAACGTTGCTCATCTCTTAATGTAAAAGGCCAGGTTTCACATCTATACAATTTAGAAATTTCTATAATATTTAGAAAGTTGTACAAAATTTAGAAAGTTCTATAAAATTTAGATGGGTGAAAAAGAGAAGGTACGTGGCGTAAAAGCTGTAGAGAAATTTAAATACCTAGGATCAATATTTAATAGAGAAGGCACATCCACCAATGATATCGAAAGAAGAATTGGTGAAGGAAGAAAGGTCACAGCAGTACTCAACAGTATCCTTTGAAGCTCGAATATACTCCCAGTACAAAGAGGCTAATATATTAGGTAATTCGAGCCAATTACGACGTATGCCTCGGAGAATTGGATCATCAGTGCAAGACACTAAAACAGTAAAAGGGTGGGTCATGGCATCATAGAACAAAAAATGTTTCAACTATTATTTTCTTTAACAATTTCTGCCTTTCCTACATATTTTTAATTTGTAAAACGGGGGTTGATCTACGAAAACAAAAATATTTCACAAGATTAGGTGTAATTCAAACTACATCGATGATTGTAATCCTATGAAATTCTCCTTAAGGTTCAATTTATTTGCCTTATCCCTTTCTTAGAATCGTGGGCTTAAGTTAGCCCCATAAACCTAAGCCAGTATTCGCTGGAAAAGATAAGATAATTTACAGAGAAAATCCGGGAAAGGACTTGAGTAACCATTAAAAATAAATGGTGTTTTAATCATATACACAGGCAGATCTGGGGGAGGGGAGAGAGGCTTTTGGGCTGAAGCCCCCCTTCCAAAATGGTAAAATATAACCATGTTTTATGAAAAGATTATAAACAAATTATCTCTAAAAGTATCATTACTCGTGTAATTATATTTAATAGGACTTAAGAATCACTGATACACCATTTCATATAGTTCCTTTATTGTTCTTTCAAAGTAATTATCGTTATGTATATATATATATATACACACACAAACAAATTCTTACGTCAGAACCCCTCTAAAATTAAATCTTGAATCCGTTAGTGATCATATATAAAATTTTAAAGCATTACGAAGAAATGTGTGTGTATATATATATATATATATATATATATATATATATATATATATATATATATATATATATATATATACAGCCATGGTGGCCGAGAAAGCTAAGGAGCTTGCAGTACATTAAGTTAAGCATTGCCGACGAGAGATTTAGATGAGTGACCATCAGAAAAAGCCTAAGAGAGGCGGATGCTACGAAATCTAGATCGTCGATTTACAGCAAAAGTATTTAAAAACCGATGTTTCAGTTTTCTTAGGATTCACTGGAAGTACATAATTCTGTTGAGCATACATAGTTAGGTTCGAACAAAAAATACCGGCAAACCAGCTCTAAATATAATAAAGCTATGGGGTTCTACAAAAACATCAAATTCTTCCCTTATCCAATCCTTACAATCCAAAATCCTCCGTAAAATCCTAAATGCTCGTTATTATGTAACAAATAAAATTATCCATAAAGATCTCAACATTGCTCTTTTGGAAGACTTGGCCCGAACTAGATATACCTCTTTTTATTCCAAACTCTTTGGTCACCCCAATCCTCTAGTTCGTAACCTTTCATCCAATACAATTCCTGACAACCGTCCGAGGCGTCTGAAAAGAAGATGGCCAAGGGACCTCCTAAATTAATTTATCTTTGAAGTATTACCAATGGGTAGCTTCTTCACAAATACCTTCATGTAATATATTCCTAAAGCAGATTTACTGGTTGTATATATCTTTACAGTTGTAAATTTCAATAAAATAATAATAATAAAAAATATAATAAAGATGGTTATCATTTCTTCACATTTATCATATTTATTTTCACAGAGTCCGAAAAACACATTTTTAGCCATTGGTCTGTCTGTCTGTGCCAAGATTTTATCGGGAACTACTGAACCGATTTTGTTGCTTCTTTTTTTATTTTGTAGGGTTATGACTACTGATGCCTGTGACAGAAATTCGTTGCTCCATGCGCAATAGTTTGAGCACAATAAATGAAAAACATGTGTTTCTATGTACTGTAGCGCAAAAACGGCTCTAACGATTTTGATGAAACTTTTCTATAATGTTCTAATCGTTGTTCTTTCAATTTTCGAATATAGACTAAATTCCCAAAAAAAATCAGGAAAAAAGTTATAAAGAAAAGAAAAATGTTATGGGGCCTAACTCCCTAAGTATATGTTATACGGTAAAATTTATAATAAAACTGTTGAAAGGTAATGAAATTTCCTACAAAGCCATATAAAAATCGTTCATTTTGGACAACTATTAACGAAGTTACAGCTATTCAATTTCCAATGTAATATTACGGTTTCATATCCTGGTGTCAGAAAGGGGTGAATGAGAGAATAAAGATGACTAAGTGAAGGTAAGAAAATCTGTTGCCCGCATCACGCAATCTTCACTATTTCCTCTACTTTTAACAGAAATTATTGTTTGACAATACTAAGCTATGGCAAAAAGTTTTTGATCAGCAATATTAGTGAGTATTGAAATTTTTAAACTGATCTACCTCAAGCCGGTTTACGTTGCTTTAGTTTATCAAATAAATCGTACTCAAATCTTATGTTTGAACAATTTTCAGGATTCTTTCTTGTTTCTTCATGAACATATGTAAAGATATTAAAACTTTTCTGAAATGGGTAGGAAAGTCGTGTGAGTGGACACACCAGATATTTTTTTCTTCCAATGTCTAACCGTAGCGATAGCTCACTCCTGTTTGCGACTGGGGGAAACAGATTGATGTATTGTATCGTATCATATCGTACATAAGCAAACCTTCTTTCAGTTTAATATCAATGACAATAATTATAAAACAAACGTTAGATGTTCTAGATTATAATTTGTCTTTTATATTTACCATAACAGTAATCAGGGATGACGAAGGTAGCCCTGGAAGGAGCGTTCCTGATGGTGTAGAGGAGGTAATGCTTCAGGATGCTCTGGAGTACACAGGATTGCAGGACATCCGGCGCCATCCAGATGTTGAGGGTGTTGGTGGTCACGCTGGAGTAACCCATCTCGAACCCGGCCATCGTGTACTCGGGTACGTTGGATTTGCACAGAGTGTACTTGCCCATGAACGGGAAGGCGTTCGTCAAAATGTTCTTTTCGAGTCCCGATACATTGTCTTGTACCAATAAATTTGTCTTTTGGCACTTCTTCGTTGTGCACATGTGAATGTTAGTTTCTTCCTAGAAAATAAATAACATCAAATTGAAATTGTTTTTTAATTTATAGAAGATTTTATATTAAATACTTAAAAAAGTAGATGAATTTCTAGAAAAAAAAATACTAACGTATGTGGTTTACACCACACGATATATAGTGAAATATCAACAAGTCGAGATTAATAATATGAAATATAAATTATAAAAAATAGCTCATTGTAGAGAGGATGAAATGCTGAACAATTTCTTGACTTACAGTATGCAGGTCCGATTTTTAGTTTCTGAGATATTTTAATGCCACATCCCCACATATATTATTACAGTAAGGCTCGAAATCGGTTTTGTACCAAATTAAGCTCTTGTCAAGCTCAAATACCATGAATGGGGTACCGTTGGATTCAGAATTTCACGGGGGATTAGAAAATCGTACTCTCTGCTTTTGTTTTTCTTTCTAAAATAAATAAACTCGATATAAACATTTTGCTAGGCTTCAATACTGGAACGGTGGTAGGTCTGTAGATGGATACGGGACAAATTGGATCTCGAAGATTTTGATGCGTACAGCAAGACCCTGCGTTTTTAAGCAAAAAAACGTACTATTTTCGAGATAACACAAGGCACAGGGTTCGCATCCACACAGCCTGACGTTAATTGTAGTACTGTCATTAAATACATGCCTCATTTCGTCGATTTGAGGTCTCTATGATAGAGACAGGAGGAGTTTATATTATTTATCTTATGGTGTTTTTGATCGGCAAGCCATATCATCGTGAATTCTTCATCAAATCTCAAGATTGAGCACCGATTTCAAAGACTTCTTTCTCCTTCAGGCGGGCAAAATAGTCCAATCACCCCGAAAATTCAGGCAAACAAGTTATGAAAGAAAAGAAACTTTATTTGCGAATAACTAAAAAATTACACACTTCCCTTGGTTATTCCCATGATTATATAAAACATTTCTAAATTTTCTACAAAAGGAAAAAAAAGATCATAGAAATTGGACGATTTTTCGCAACGATACAGCTTATTGAAATTTGTAAATATGTTGGTTCCAAACAAAAATGAAGATTTAAATTAATTTTTGTTTCCTTTGTCGATTATATTTATCGATAAAGTTACAATTGATTTCTTTATCTTTTGGTACGTTGCATTATTTTATTTTCTTATTAATTTGGCATTTGACAACAATATGCTGTGCTAATTTTTCGCACGGGCCTACTAGTAATAAATAACAATAAAATAAATTTCATCACTTGCAACAGAGTGCCATGGGCCATCAGCTCACAAATGCTCCAGTCCAGTTTGTTCTCTTTCACCTGTACTTTCCTTTTGTCGAACATATCCATATCATTGTTGGTTACCTTCATACCATCCGGGACTTTGCTCATCGCTTCTCCGATCGTGTGGAGTACTTGCAAGGAGGACGCTGTTGGAGGTTCAATCGTCGACTGAAAAATATTTGTGAAGAGTCATATAATTAAGATTTAAATTATATTACGTGTTGTTATAAATTGATAACAAAACAACCAAGAGACAGAACATAAATGTTAAGTTATTATTGGAAAAATTCAAATCACACAGGATTAGTTCTCCAAAATGCAAGCAAAGAAAAAAACCTGCCAACATTTCGCCAATTCAGGCATCATCCGGACAGAAAATAACAGCTGATCGAACATGACTCAATGAAATCCAATCCCATACTGGAAGGAAGGAAAAAAACACAGCTGGAGAAATTTGCCATAAAACAGCTGATCAGTGAAACAAACGACTAATGAAAATTATACACTACAAATCGTAAATCTGAAATATTTCATAAAATAAATAAACATTGATAAAAAAAAAAGAAAATAAATAAAAGGAAATTTTCATTATAAATTCTCACCACTCCATGAAATTCAATCCCATATTTGAAAGAAGTAGTGTTGCCCAAATGCTAGACCAAGACAAGTCTTGGTCTTGCCAACTCAGTCTTGGTCATGGTCTTGGTCTTGCGTAAGAGTCTCACAACAGCCTTGCAGTTGCTTATTAGCTTATCACTATAGAGATATTACTGTAATTTATTAGATAGGAGAAACCTAACTTAGCCCGATTGAAAAATTAGAGGAGTTTAATGCAAAAGTATATTGGTTATACTAATTATTAATATGTAGTAACTAAGATTGTCAAGTATTAGTAACTATTTTGTCATAATTTTTATTCAAAAAATCGATTTTATTTACCAGTCCTGGTATTGGTCTTGCAACAGCTAGGCGGCCTTGGTCTTTGCAAGACCAAGACCGATTTTAGGCAACACTAGGAAGAAGGTAAGACAACACAGTATGGGAAAGTTGCAAACAGCTGATCGAGGAAACAAGCAATTTATCAAACTGTGGAATATCTAATTAAAAATCATAAATATGTTATAAAAAAAAATGTATAAATAAAAAAAAGAAAAGAAATAAAAAAACTAAGGTGTGTTCTTTAGACCACACGATACTAATGAAAACATCAAAAAGGCGAGATTAATAATAGATTTCATAATGTTCGATTATTTGTTCTTTCCTTTCCTGGTGATACCTGAATTTGTGAAACATTGACGGAGGTTATTTCTTTTCCTGAATTTTGGAGATATAACGCTCCAAATGGTTTGGAATTTTTGCAATAATAACCTAATATATTACATATTTAAGATGATATCGTACCATACTTACTTTCGTAATGCTGGAAGCCTTGTCCTCAAGGACAACAAAATCGTGCCTAGAATACATTTCCTGAATCGAAGCTAGTAATTCCTCTTTTCTCTTCTCGTAGGAGACATCGGAAATGACCTTAAGGAATTTCAAAATACACAGATTATTATTAGTGAAATGTAAAAATTACACTGGGCAACAAAAATCAAATTTTTGAATGTTTCCAGCACTTCATGAGTTAATTATTACTAATTTTGGATTGAGAAAAACTAATATGTCAAGAGAAAATTTTTTTTAGCTCTAGTTTCTGTGATGTCATTGATTATATTTTCTCAACCCTAGAAAACAAGGAATACTGTTCGAGTGCATTTCTGGACATAGTAAAGGCATTTGACAGAGTATGGCACGCTGGATTGATCTTCAAACTTAAAATCCATTCACCTTAGTCCTTGTACCTAACCCTTTAATCCTACCTCTCTAACCTCTGCTTCCGAGTTCGCTGTGGAACAGAATTTTCCGGTATCTATCCCGTTTTTTTTCTTTTTTTTTTTTTTTTTAATTTTAAGGTTTCAACCACTAGGATCATTATTGCCTTATTTTCATCGAGAACTAGCTTGTATTCTCAAGTTTCGAACATTTCAGAAAAGAAAATAGTTTATCAACCTCATTCGATTCGTCCTGTAAAATGGAGTGTATATCATTTGTGAACTCACAAGATAGTCTAAGTGTTTCGCAAGCTCTGCATTCTGTTAAAATGTGTTTCACTGTCAGAGGAGTCCCACAGGTTTGGCATGTTGGCGAAGAATCACAGGCCATCAGGTATCCATGGGTAAGGCGTGTATAAGCAGCCACGTAGGACGATGCCCAAGAGGAAACGTCACCCTTAACCTCCCTCAATTTATTTTCGGTTACATTCACACAACAGACACAGTCCGTTATCTTGACTTTCTCTTAGACCGAATACTAACGTGGAACCCACATACTAGACTCAAAAGACAAGAACTCAACCGACGATGCAGACTACTGGACAGAAAATCTAAACTTTCAATTGAAAACAAATTGCCTATCTATAAGATAATCCTGAAACATATGTAGATATCTAAACCTATCACGATCGACTACGACTTAAAATCTTAATCGTTTAAAATTAAATACTTAACATTAACTATTAAAAACAGACTTCACCTTATTAACTATGAGGTGTTTCATGTAAGTTGCTGCAAGAGGAGCCTTTTCGTTCGTTATCAATTCCTCCATCAGTTCCGGTAATGACAGCTGCTTTATAGGATAGCACTCAGGTTGGTTCACGATCAAGTTCACGACTATATCACTGTAATAGATAAGTATTATCATATTATGAATTACCTAGTCCTATCATAAATATTGTTACAAGGAAATATATGCAGACATCAACAGAAGAATTAATTTTTTTTTTTAAATTATCAGAAAATAAAATGTATATCCATAGAAAGTAAAAAGAAAAATAATTTACTCAAAATATCCCCCTCCTACCTTGGCGTAGGCAATCTCTTTTATTAATCTCCGTGGCCAGTCATCAATAGCAGCACGCAGCACTTCTTGAGGAAAGCGCTCAACTGCTCGGACCAGAGATTGTTTGAGGCTTTCCAAGTTAGGGTGTGCTCTGTGGCATGCCATCCTCTCCAGTTCAGACCTAAGCCGATAATCTAGTGGGTTGAGATCAGGGCTTCCTGAGGGCCAATCCGAGGCAGAGATGAACTCTGGAATGTTCTTTTGCAACCATTGCTGAGTTGACGTGGCCTTGTGAGCTGGAGCGAAATCCTGCTGGAAAACCCAATAACTTCAAGCGAACAGAGTATCATTTAGAGGCTTGACAACAGGTTTCAAAATATCGTTCTGTAGTTTTTAGCGGCTGTGTTAACTCGTTTTTCACGAGCTCTGTGGCGCCATCAAAGCAAACTCCTCACCAAACCATCACTGAGGAAGGGTGATGACCTCTTTCCATTCTTCCAATGACTTCCTGTACTTCTGTAGCTGTGTGCAACACACGATCATTTTGGTGATTCAATGTTTCTTCAATTGTAAACATTTTCTCATCGCTAAACAAAATCTTTCGATGAAGACCATTGGTGTAACGGCCAAGGAGCACTTTGCATCTATCCGTTCTGATTTTTTTTAGGTAAGTGATTAGCCTTTGTGACGTCATTCTTCGAAATGCCCCCATCCTAAGGTAGAGTTTTATCATGCGAGACATTAATCTGACAGTGAATTTCATAAAGGACAAGAAAATAAAATTAAAAACTCAATGCATGAAAAATAAATAAATAACAAACCGTTTATGGGTGTTCTTAAAATCTGCAACCAAATGCATAACATTTATGACAGAATCGACGTCTTCAGCTTTTACGTGAACGATCGGAGCTTTAAGAAAATCTGCAAATATTTTTAAAAATTTGCATTGATTCTCCTTCTCTTGTTTCATCGATAATTCTTCTTCGACCTGTTTAATAATCATTATATATTATTTTAATTATTAATTGATTTCATATATTTTTTTTTTCTACTCACCTCGTTGAGCACAACGTGTATCGAACCACCAGTAAAGAAGTTGGTATCGCTCGAAGTTTGAATTATATTGCTGTATATGCTTTTGTCTTTAATATCGTTTGAATCGTAACAGATAATAGGCCACACCTATAAAGTAAACAAACTCTGATGAGTACATCTTTTTTTATATTTACTAAATTAGTTATAATATCACGTAATAAAAATTATTTTTATTGAATACTAAGGAGTTGGGGATTGGGCACACTTATCCTCTGTAAAATGGGATCTCTGATTGTACAACAGATTAGGAAAAACATGGCGGTCGAGCGTGATCTTGACCTTTTCATCTCTTAGTATCGCCATTTTTGCAGCTAACCATATATTCTGTTTTATCCACGTTTATTTCGAGTCCTAGTTCTTTACCGGCTTTCATTAAAGTTGTCGTATTTAGTTTTGTCTAAATAAATAATAAATAAAAAAAAATTTAACATCAGTGCAACACACAGAAGAAATTTTAAAACCATAGGTCATATACAATTACACTTTCATTGGTTTGTTATCTGCTTTCCCCTTTTCATCTGATTTGAAAGTCTTCATTCAGAAAAAAATTTAAGCCAGCCGAAATGTGGCCCCCTCAAAAATTCAAAACCCCGTTAAAATGTGCCCCATCAAAAATTTTGATAACTTGCACCATAAAACCCCCTTCTGGGCACCCCTGGAATGGCGTATTCCGGGAGGCCTTTGACAGAAGAGGATTGGAATTGGAAAGGAGAGGACGGATGGTGAGAACAGTATATATATATATATATATATATATATATATATATATATATATATATATATATATATATATATATATATATATATATATATATATATTAGTTTTAAAACTTGATAACAAGTCCTGATCTCCACAAATAGGTTTCTACAAATGTTCATATCTATTGCAGTCAATACCCAGTTGGTCATAGTTGGAATTTTTATGTCGACAAGTGCCTTGTGATCTTTTCACCTCCAGTCGGACTATCTGACAAATTCAAGCGAAGTCTTTATCCCAAAATAATTAACTTTAATTACTTGTTTATTGACTTACTTACACGACTGTGATCATGGTCGCCTTCGAGTTGTTGGAGCGCTTTAGTTACCCCAAGCGTAAGCGGGAAGATAGTCGAGGAGTAGCTGGAGTTTCCTGCCAACGTCACGGTCACTTCGGGCTTCTTGCGGTCGTCCATGTACGGCATAGAGGTGTGTACCCCGGACAGCTTACTTCGGCAGCTCATAACGTTCATGAAGATACTCTCAGGAGTAACGTCCAAGATCTTGGAAAGTGTATCCAATTTCCTGTATTGCAAGGTTCCTGCAAGATGTTCAATATATTGATACAAAAGTTCTATTTAGGAAAATTCTTGCTTACACATTTACAGGATAGTTAGTCAGTCATGAAGAGAAAATCATAACTGTCAGTCCCCAATAAAGAAATTTATACTGTCGTGCAGTCAATATTAGTTATAAAGGAAAACTTAAGATTAAATAATTAACGAAGGTATACCGTACAGAAAAAAAACAGCCTTTGAGTTATAAAATATTGTATTATACTTCATTATAATACAGGTAATATACTGATTACTGAGCTACTATTTTTTTTTTTATTCATACCGTACTTTTAGGCTACACGGGCTTTTCCCCAGGCACCCGGATTTGAGCTTGTAATTATTTTTCTATCCCAAGGCAACGCGCGGTGCTGTACATACGCGTTAGCCCGCTCGGCTATTTCGACTCCTTTGAGCTACTCCTTTATATCTATATTATATACATCTGCATATATACAGAGATACTATATTATATACAGAAGTTGCAGAGTTAAGTGATAAAACTGTGAAAAATGAACTAAGGACCTCACAACAAGAAAAAATTTCCTGTGAAATCCAGTGCCTTGTGATATTTGCGTTTATTTTTTTTTTTTTGTCTCGACATTAAACAAAAAGTCTATGCAAGTCCGGTCAATGACCTTAATTCCTTACAAAGAAGGATAATTGAATCTTGTGAAACAATAACTCGTATCCAGTGCCGTTCTGCCACTGCTGCTGTTGAAGAAAGATGCCGAGCCTGTCTTGATGCTCAAGGAATTCACTTTGAACAACATTTAATATGAATGTTAATGCTTACATTTAGTTAATAAAATAGTTAGAACAAATAACTAGGTTTTATTTATTTCATATAACGTAAATAGTTCATAACAACGAAAATCTTTAGATGTGAATATCTCCTAAACAAAGCTTTTGCGGACATACCTTCAAGGATTTTATTTCTTGTTTTGAGGTCCTTAGTTCATTTTTACAATTTGGCCACCTAACCAAGAAACACACTGTATAATGTATTTTATGTATGCATCTGTTATGTTATATCTCCTTTGCATATAGACTTTCCCTCTCATGCATTGGATATTGCTATGTTATCTTAAAAAAAACCTTCCACCCTTATTTCTTAAACTCGGCCACCTATGTGTCTAAGCAAACTGTAAGAACAACAGATGCACACGTTCTGTTTATAAACTGATTAAGCAACGCCTTTCTACTGTGTGAGTCATCAACAATTTGGAGCAAAAAAATTCCCTTAAGTCATAACCTTTTATAGTGGGGCAGTGAGTCAGATGTCTTTACAATACCTCGAGCCATCTTCTTCAACTGAGTTAACAAAAAAAAAAAAAAAAAATGGATTGCTCAGCTCTTTAAGGTTAGTGAATCATTCTGATCTAATCTTTAGAAGGATTGGCACATCATAGGTAAGAATTTATGGTTGTTTTCAATTTACTTCAGTCAATGATACGATTTAAAATAAATCATTGATATAAAATTGAATTTTATTTAAAGATGGGAGGTAGAAGGCGAAGAAAATAAATTTACAAAAACAACTAAATTAAACAAGAGTAATTTTTCTTAAATTGTAGTTGAAATTTGTAATTAATTAAAAAAGATTCGACAGAAAATTTTTGAGCTTCTCTAAAAATCGATATTCCGAGACCATCTCCTGATCTCCATTGGAACAATGAACAGATGAATTTATTGAAATAAAAAAAAAAAAAAAAAATATATATATATATATATATATATATATATATATATATATATATATATATATAAATGTATATATATCATACAAATTTAAGGAATTTACTCTTATTAAATTTAGTGTAGAACAACGGAAAAAGTCAGCATCGCAAATTACATCAATAAACAAAGTCTGCAAAACTCAATGCAGTTTTCAATCAGATCAATATATTAATAGACAACAGAGTTGTTGCAAAGGTATCAAGTACCCGGGTACAATTTTTCCAGATGCTTATATTCATTTAACTCTTTAACTAGATAATCGTTGTATATTTTCCATACACGTTACAAAGGGCTAGAACTTAGATGCAAAATGTCAATAGACATTATTTTTGATATCTTGTGTTTTATCCTTGATCGCAACCCAATAGATCTACTCCTTGATTTCATCCACAGCCATAAATATAGATAGATCGATTGTATCAATAAAGCCTAACTTACATACTTTTATCGATAACTTCATTTTGATCGAGTTCCAGATTATAAGGAACAATTTATTGCCCCCCTAGATAATATACAATATAGAAGCCGACTCAAACCCCCCCCCCCATCATCATCGATATTAATATGAACCCAAGCTACCCAGATCGGGTTCCATCCTGACCTTAATGGCGCCGACATCGATACCTGAGCTGCTCGACTTACCAACCACTCTCCGAGACAGATTTGTTTAGCGACCTTCAGGAAAATACATATGAGCTCATCAATAAGAAAAGGAGTATCTCTGGTATATACGTGCTATATAAACTACTGTTGTTTATATAAATTTATTTTTATTATTTGATAGATAGAAAGTAAACTTTATTCTGGGACAAGGTCTCTTATGAATAACAGATATGAACAAAAAAAATAAAAACTACATCTGGCTAAAAATTACATTAATAAATATTAAAGAATATATACATTATCTTCAGTGAAATGATATTAAAACAAGTAGAAATAACACCATTTTGAGAAAAAAACGAAATAAAAAAACAAACATTATTTAAGTGAAAAGAAAACAAAATAAAATAAAATAAGCATGGGTTGATTTTTAAAATTAAAACTCAATAAATTTTAACAACCATTCACCTCAGTCAAAATCTGTTTCGCAATATTTATTTTATTGCATAACGTCATTTTGGAATGTGAGAAGGAATTAGAAGAGACGATATTTAAATAAGGACATGGCGGATATCAGATGGGAAGGAATTCCAGAAGGCAGTGGATCGGACAATAAAGGAATATTCAAACGTCTTAGTTCTATGGGAAGGGATATAAAGGTCGGAAACACGGAATCTTGTTTTCTGGGAGGGGACAACGGGTTTGAACTGTAGGAGACTGTAGATGTAGGAAGGGTTTCTGGTGTTGACTGTTTGGAATAGGAAAGATCCATTATTATTATTAGTTTCTGTATTATTTATTGTAAATAGAGTGTGAGGGTGCTCTCTGAACACCATTATAAATGTCCTTAATTTTGACAGAATGTAATATTTCTAAATAAACAAATTAATAATTCGATTTATCGAACGCTATCATCACCACATATGCTGATGACACAATCACCCTATCAGCTAATAACGACCCATCTATTGCATCCCAAACTCTCCAATCACACATCACAAACCTTGAAGAAGGTGTCAAAACTGGAGGATTAAAATAAATTCCAATAAATCCCATCAAATTACCTTCACTCTTAGTCGTAAACACATGACTTCCTGTCCTACAGTATCCTTTAACAATAGCCCTCTTATCCCTGTCGAACAAATCCGATACCTAGGACTCCACCTGGACAAACGACTCACTTGGACCACACCAGACTGAAACGACAAGAAACCGCTCTACGTTTTCGACTATAGCAGCACTTACTAGACAAACGCTCTAAGCTTCCAATCAATTACAAACGACTCGTATATATGACAATAATAAGACCTATTTGGCTTACGGAATTGAGCTTTGGGGCTCCACTAAATCATCGAATTCCTCTAGTATCCAATCCTTACAATCCAAAATCCTTCGTAAAATCCTCAACGCTCCTTACTTTGTCACAAATAAAATAATCCATAAAGACCTTAATGTTCCATATGTTTCCGATTTGGCCCAATCCAGATATCTATTTTTGCATAACAAACTTCAGGACCATCCGAACCCTCTCATTTCAAATCTTGCTTCCTCCTCGATCCCTGATAACCCTCCGAGGCGTCTGAAAAGAAGATGACCTCGGGACCTTCTAATATAGAACTTTAATTTGAGTTCTACCAATGGGTAGTTTTTCTTCATGTTGTACATGTCATGTTACCAATACAGTTGTAAATTTCATTAAAATATAAAAAAAAATAAATAAATAAAAAATAATTCGATTTAAAGAAATCTATTCCAATTTTAAAAATATTAAATAAATTCTGATAAAAATGTCGAGTAAGTCTCAAAGTTATTAAGAAATGTGTGCCACGTGCCACTTGTTAAGAAGTTATAATCTTTTATAAATCTACGAAATGGCTACTTTACAGTTGGAATAAAAGCAGTAATTAAGAATTTAACTGTTTAAGCTTTTTTATACTTTTCGTGACTCTAATGAGGCCTGTTAGGGATATAAATATCGATTTAAAAAAATCGTTTAACTATCTCTCTCTTTAATAAATCACTATAATATAAAATTTTTTTAGTGACCGATATTCCGATATTTTATTCTCCGTAAGGCGCAATGCTCACGCTGAACACCACGGTCGTGCGGGTTTCCGGATACTGCGCCGTAATCCTCTCATTATTCAGATAAATTGTTTTCTAACCGTTTTCTATTTTATTTTATTTTTTTATTTTTTTTGTTTTCATATTTTCATCTGCTTCTATCATGAGAGTAACAATCAGCAAATTTATGAAAAAATAGATCGTAATGGCATGAAGAAGGATAGCACCCAGCGCCACCTCTTCCTGGTCTTAGTTTACTGTCGTAAATGAGGGAAGCTCTCTCATCCACCTCCTTTTCAGTCTTCTCCTGATGGCCATGTCGGTTATGAGTCTGTTGTTGTGTCCATATAGTTTAACATGAAATCGTAAGTAAAGAATACGTATTTGTTAAAGAAAAAATGGTTGTCACAAGTCGTTATGTAAAGTTTTGTTTTTATCGTACCAGATAGCTTCTGTTATTTTATAAGTCGTAAATTTTTTTCATAAAATCTTTAAAATTCTCTAAGGGTATATATTAAGCATACTAACCAAATTCCTCAGACGAACACAGTGCGCTATATCGGACTAGTATTCGACAGAAGAA